ATTTTTTGGCTTTCGACAATCCTTGGATCGATGTCCTGCCTTGCCACAATTGTAACAGTTGCCTTTAAATTTTTTAGCAGTTTTTGAAGAACCAATTTGTCCTTCCCCATTGTGCTTCCTCTTTTTGTTTGTCTTGAAGCCTCCTTCTACAATGTTGGCTTTTGGTTCCATCGAAGTAGATGCACCATTCCTTTTTTCCGTTTTGCGATTGTCTTCTTCTATTCTCAAACGGACAATGATATCTTCAAGTTTCATTTCCTTCCGCTTGTGCTTGAGGTAATTCTTGAAATCCTTCCATGAAGGTGGTAATTTCTCAATTAGTGCAGCGACTTGGAATGATTCACTTAGTTTCATTCCTTCGGCATGGATGTCGCTAAGTATGATCTGAAGTTCTTGAACTTGGGGTATGACAGTCTTGTTGTCAACCATTTTATAATCCAAAAAACGACCGACAATGAATTTCTTCGTGCCGGCATCTTCGGTTTTGTACTTTGTGTCCAAAGATTCCCACAGTTCTTTTGCAGACTTAGCATTGCAGTACACATTATATAATGTGTTATCCAGTCCATTAAGCACATAATTTCTGCATGAGAAATCAGAATGCTTCCATGCATCAACCGCAGCCAATTTTTCAGCATCACTGTCTTGCTCGGTATATGAAGGCGCGTTTTCTTTGAGAAATTTAGCCAAATTTAATGTCATCAGATAAAAAAGCATTTTTTTGTTGCCAACGCTTGAAATCTGACCCATTAAACTTTTCTGGTTTTTCCCCGGTCGTATTCGGGAGTGTGGTACCAGAAGTTGCCATTTCTGAATGCAACCAGAAGATTAACGATAAGAAGGAGTAGAAACAGAAACAAATAATAATTGAAAAAGCAAAATTCATTTTAAGATTGTTGTTTCTAGAGTTTGAATTCACTCCTTCGAAAACAATCCGACAGAATTACCTGAATGCAAGAATTGATCAACAGGATCCAAAATTGTAATTCGAGCCCACCGACTTCACGATGTGTCCTTAAAATGAATTTGCTGCCTTCAATGGTGCTAAAGGCGTCCAGCAATCGTTAATATAGTGTAAAGGTCGACCCGGACCCGCACCGAACCGAACTCGGGCATGGGCACGTGCCGTGCCGAGCCGGCCGGTCGGACGGACGACGGCGGCGACGCGCGCGTGTGGGTTTATGACCGAACCCAATAGGATATAGGTCTTCCCCCTTCCAAAGACTATTGGTACCCTTGGGGCCCAAACCCAAATCTAAACTTTCACTTTATAAACCACACCAAAGTTTCCTAACTTTCCTATGTGGGATAAGTGTTTGGCAAATCAAATTCTTCCATAATCCTTAGTTTATGTGGGTTACTTTAACACTTAATATTTCATTCAATTTTAAATGGTTTTCGATAAATAAATATATCACGTTAATCATCTCGCGGAGTAGAACGCGAATACGCTAGGTCCCGTATTATTTAAAAGGTGGGTCCCACTGAAATTTGGGCTCAAAGTTGACCCATTAAACCATTTTTTTTTCCAACATCTTCTTCCTTGTTCACATCATATTCATATGACACAGGAGGATACATCAAGTTCAGAAATTGTTATCTTCCTTCTTTTGATCCTGTACCTGTTCCTGTTCTACCAGCTGTCCTGTGTTGGTCAATGTGACAACATTGTTCTGAAGGACCACAGTACAGCTATCAACGGTGTTGGCCCACTGATTGAGGTGCTTGAGTTGGTGAGAGACACTGGAGCCAAGAGAAAGCTTCTTGTCCCTCAACAAGTAGAATATGATTAGACGATTCTCAATAGCCTGAAGTTTCCACTTAAGAGCCGTCGAGTTGGACGCCAACTTCACCTTCAACTTAACCAATCCCATGCCTCTAATGTTGTCCTTCATCATTCCTTCGTATAAATCGTATCTTACCCCAACAGTATTAGATAATTAAAGGATGAGGGAGAGATGAAAGAATTATCAAACAATTCAGGTTGTTGTGGATATCCTCGAAACATACATTGGAAGTCTAGATCTATAAGTAATCCTAAAGAATATAAAATCTGTTACCAGCAGCAGGAAGCGAAAAATATTCGTGCATCTATCAGTATAGGCCACTTGAATACGCAAGAAAACATAATCAGAAGATTGAACATAAGTGCCTCTGCAAATTCTATTAACTTTATTTGACTACATCCGAAGTTAATATGACACTCACATTGTTCAAATAAAATGCAAGGATTGCAAAAAAGAGGTGAATATCGTAAACATCAACATCCACTTACGTATTCAAGTAGCCAAACATGGCTGGGGCAGTTTCGAGGCATAATAACATGATTCTCAGCTTGAGAACCACTTCATTTAGACAAAACAGCTTTATGCACCATTAAAATTTTCAAGTTATCAATGTCAGATGCAGAAGATGATGGAGATTCACCAACATATGACATCAAAAACAATCATTAGAATAATTTCAATAAATCAGGTGATGCAAGGTTAAAAGAAAAAAGTCAACAAAATTGCATTAGCGAAGGTAGTTAGGGATAAATTTTATTAAAGTAAAACAATTCAACAAGATCACTATCGGCTATTAATGATCTGAAGATAGGAGAAGATGGGAGGGGGAGGGAGGGAGGGAAGGAGGGAGAGTTCTTTTCTTGAAGGTGGTTCACCAGGTGATAGACCGATGAGCCAGGAAAATAGAGTTGTTAAGGGGTAATAGATAAGGGCTTTAAGCAAGGTGCTACAACATAAATGATCAAGCCATCTGTTGATAATAACCTTACAGCAAAAGAAGATGACAAAAAGCATGAAACTAATAACTTGCCTTCACATGCTATTATGCGATTGTTTGAGCCACATTATTTTCATAAAAATATATTTTTGAATAGTGTAATAATGAGAAATGTGTAGTTAAAAAATAAGAAAAACTTTTGGTTTTACGTGTAACATTATTTTATTGAAGAATGTGTGATTGACATGAAGTCAAATCACTATTTAAAAATGTATTTTTTCCAAATAATGTAGATCAAATAGGGCCTATATGATCATACCTTGTAGAGCCGATGGCGAACTTGTTTGCAAATCATGCTAAAATCATGTACTTGAATTTTTGCAATAAACTACTCTCATATAAGCCACCTCCATGCATTTGTAGGCCAGTGCAGTAGCAGCCATTTCTTAGCCTTTTTTGTATTGAAGGGCATAGGTTTAGCAAGGTATGCAAAGTTCATTCTGAAATCTAGAAAGATGATAGTGTGTTTGAAAAGCATCTTACCTATCATGCTCAAGATATGTTCAGACAATACAATTTTTCAACTTAAAAGGTAGTTGAATCACATTACTTTTCAGTTTTCCAAGGGAAATATTCTGTAGTGACCACTCTGGATCCTCAAGTACAAAGAATTGAGCAAGTTGGGTATTAAAGGCACTTTCATCTAAGTGCGAGTCAATCAAACAATATTAATGCTCTTGGGGAAACAATATTTTTATCAAAAAACTGCATATGATTAAAGTGCTAAAGGGTACACTCACTCGCAATGTTTGGCAGCACTGCTATACATTTGCATTTGATTCATCTCCTTGCACTTGCTAGTTTCACCATTGCATGCCTCTAAAAGAGAAGCAGCAAGAAAAAAGTTTAAAGTAGCTTTGAAGCAGCCTCATTACTTACGAAAGGAGACCCAGAGTTCTGCACAATATTATATAAGAAAAATTTAGAAATGTAAGTGGGAAATTGGTCAATTGCATGTTCAAAAGGAACTCAAAGCAGATGAAAGTAAAAAGCCTAAAGATACAAAACAAAAAATAGAATCTAGTTATTAGAAAAAAATAGAATCCGGTTATTAGAGCATGTACACACATTAAAGAGAAATGTGAAAAAAAGAACTTGAGATGATCAGTAGTGTAGTGATGGTGCTAAAGTCCCTTATGAATCACCTATAAAAACTAGCCAAGCCATGAAAACTCCTAACTTCAATTATAGTTTTAGGTGTTGGCCACTCTTAAAGCTTTTATCTTTTTCTCATTGACGTCTACTCCATTAGCACTAACCATGAATCCTAGAAAAACAACTCTATCCATGCAAAACTTGCTCTTTTTGAGATTAGCATACAATTGTTCTTCCCTCGGCACATCAAGCACACATCTTAGATGCTTCAAATGCTCATCTAGGTCTTTGCTATATATTAAAATGTCATCAAAATAAACTACAACAAATTTTCCTATGAAAGCACGTAAAACATGATTCATTAAATGCATGAAAGTGCTCGATGTATTAGTGAGTCCAAACGGCATAACTAATCATTCATACAATTCATACTTAGTTTCAAATGTCGTTTTCTATTCATTACCCTCCCGCATACAAATTTAATGATACCCGCTCTTAAGATTAATCTTACTAAAAATGCAAGCACCATACAATTTATCAAACATATCACCTAGCCAAGGTATAGGGTGATGATACTTTACCATTATATTGTTGATAGCTCAGCAATCTATGCACATTCTTTAAGTCTGATCTTTCTTCAGTACCAATAGAATGGGCATAGTACATGGACTCATGCTCTCTCTTATATAGCTATTGCTCCTCAACTTCTCCACATACTTCTGAATCTCCTTTGTCTCCTTGGACTTACTTCTGTAAGTCGGTCGGTTTGGAATGACAGCTCCAAGTATGAAGTCAATCTGGTGCTCAATGCCTTGAATTGGTGGCAATCCACTTGGCACATCCTCTAGAAACACATCTTCAAAATCCTGCAACAAAGACTTAACCAAACTAGGGAGGGAAATGTTAGATTCCTCAAAATTGAGGAGGGACTCTTTGTACACTAACAACAAAATTTGCTTGTTATCACTCATAGCCTTTTTCAACTTACTCTCTTTTACATAGAAATTTACTTTTAGATTTTCTCTCCTCTTAGCTGGCTCTTTTCTCTCCGCTTCTGTGGCTTCTCTCTCTTTTCTCCACTTTCGTCAACCTCACCATTTTCTCTCTTATTTTCAGTCTCACTATTTCCTCTCCTTTTTCCCAACTCCCTCATTTTTCAGTTTAATTTGATCTTCATGCACTTGTGCCGGTGTTAATGGTGCAAGAGTAATGGTCTTTCCATCTTTGACAAAACTATATCGATTCCTATACCCATCACGTGTAACCCTTTTATTGTATTTCCATGGTCTCTCCAACAAGATATGACCGGCATGCATATGCACCACATCACATACAACCTTGTCACTATAACTCTCAATTGAGAAATTAATTAGAACTCGTTTATTCACCATAACTTCTCCACTTTCATTCAACCACTGCAATTCATAAGGTATATGGTATTTTAATAATACTAGTCCTAATTTCTCAACTAAAGTTGTGCTAGCTACATTCTTCAACTCCTACCATCATTAATCACACTACATATCTTATCGTTGACGTGACGTGTGTGGAATATATTTTCCCGCTGCTGCTTCGAATCATCCACTTTGATTTGAATTTTAAGAGCTCGCCTCGAGACCAACGACTCCCCAACAGCAAATTTCACATTTTCTTCTTCATCAACCTCTTCCAACATAGGCATGTCTTCATATTCTCCTCCACTCTAGCTCACCATCTCTCCATTGTCCAACAACACCATTGCTCGCTTATTTAGGCATTGAGAAGCGATGTGCCCTGACCCCAAGCACCTAAAACACTTGACGTCTCGATTTCTTGATGGCTGTGACTCTATTTTTGGTACTATTTTTCTAACACCTTCCTCATTCCCTTTCTACCACTCATTCCTACCTTTAGGTACAACCTTATCACCCTTGTTGTTATTCAACCTCGGTTTCCAAGATGGATTAGAACCTGAAGTTCCTAACGGCTGCCTAGCTGTTCCTAACGGTTGCCTAACTGTCCCCTTCCTCTTCAGTTGTCTCTCCACCTTCATAGCCACATGCAACATGTCTTCCAATTCCACATAATGTTGTAACTTCACTACATTGGTAATTTCCCTATTCAACCCATTCAAAAACCGTTTCATGGTAGCTTTTCAATCCTCCACCACATTTGCCCTAATCATGAGTATCTCCATCTCCTTGTGGTAATCCTCCACATTCTTCGACCCTTGATATAGGCTTTGTAGTTTTTGATAGATCTCTCGGTTCTAGTGACTAGGAACGAACCGTTTTCTCATCAATGAATTCATCTCTTCCCAAGTACGGATTAGTCTTCCCCCACTCCTACGTTGTGTAGTAACCACTTGATCCCAACAAGTTACCACATAGTCACTGAATTCTAAGACCGCTAACTTCACCTTCTTCTCCTCCGAGTAGTTATAACACTCGAAAATCAACTCAACCTTCCTTTTCCATTCTAGGTACGCCTCTGGATCACTCCTTCCTTTGAATGGAGGAACTGTCATCTTTATATTTCCTAGATTCCCATCCAATTCATCTCCGCGATCATTTCTACCCCGTCTGTCGAACCTATCACCTCTATTCCTCATTCGTCCCATCTCAACGCCGTTAAATTCATCCTCACCCATGTCACTTACAAAATCATATTCTTCCTGCCTTTCTCTTCTAGGCTCCCATCGATCTGATCCCCTAGTATAAGATGCCTTCACTCACTATCCTCGACTAAGATTAGCCACTGATGTATCTAACATTGTCATCCAAGCTTCCTGTTTTTCCAATCTATCTCTCACATCTCCAAACACCCTTTCAAATCTCTATACTAAGTCCTCAGATGCGCTACTATTATTACCATTTCGGCTTGAATTGGAATCTTCTCGTTCAGACATCCTAAGTAAGATTTTATTTTCTGTCTCACCAATTATTCACTCAGAATCACACAAAAATTGGCTTTTTCCCTCTATTAAGCTCACATCAAGTGCTTCTAAGAACAATCAGTGAACTCAACTAAATAACCAAATCACGTGGAATTCAAACCAGATGTGAAGAAATTTTAAAATTGACCTGACTTGATGGAATGAAAGGAATCAATGTGTCCTAACGAATCTTAAAAACAAAAGTAAATAATGTATGTTGGTATTAAATGGATCAAATAATAATATAACATTTTTTTTATACTATATGGATGAACAGTACCTTACGAATGAATAGTAACTATTTTTTTATCCGAAAAACTATAACGATACCAACGAAGAAAACGAAAACTGATTTGAGCGAAAATTGAGCCCAAAAATGGAAATTAAAAATTTTGATGAAAATTTTTGGATCTAAGAATCAAGAAAATTGCTGGACACAAGAACACAAAAAACTTTTAAGAAAACAAAGCAAGACTCTAACAAGAATTAAAGGGATATAACCTAATTAAATTGGAGTCAAAGCTCTGATACCAACTGATGCGAACCCTGTAGCAATGAAAACTACGAAACCTACAACGAAATTGATGTGAAACCTAAGAACGCCAATTGATAATCTGGTTTTAGATTTGAACCCAATAAATCGAACTAAGAAACTAACAAATATCCAAGATTCAAGAACCCCTTGATTACAATATGAAGAACTCACGATCCGGTTGTTTTGAACGCCACAAAAATTCAATCTTTGATAAGTTCTAAGGATAGTTTGATGAAGAACAAGAATGAAAGAAAAATTCTCTCTCTATAATTGAAAATAATGATCAAAGGTTCTTTACAATGAATTGAATTCTTATATTTATACTAACTACTAAAATAATGAAAAAACGTGCATAATCTTCTAAACATGGTAGGAAAATGAAATAATATAATTCTATCTAATCTAGGAAATCTCGCGCAAAACAAGAATTTGCATTTCAGTTTTAACTATGCGACCTCATGGTAGGATTTGGTGCGGTCGCATGGTGTAGTCTTCTGACTGCTCCAAATCTCTGGAGAGGGTGGTGCGACCGCATGGTAGGTCATGCAGCTCCAATTTCGTCCGCTTTAATCACGTTGATTCAAGTCTCTTCGGCTCTCAACTCCAACATGAAACTTGTTCCATTTACATCCCAAACATTGTTTCATCATTAGTTTTCTTGACGAGCAATCCCATCGCTTCTTTCACTTGCTTCGCCCTCGATCGCATCATTGGTCCACCTTTGACTATCAACGGATCTTTCCTGAGATTTGTAGTTGGACTTGCCTTGGTCACCACCGTGTCATGGTTCACATCACACTTCGTGTGCTCGTTGTTCATGCTTGATGTTGAGTGTAAGGCTTCGCATTATAAATATTTGTTGATACTAGCCTAAGTTCACACACAATTTGCAGGTTTTTAGTTTGAAAAGTGTTCAGTGATAGTATAGTGTCATAGGTTCACATAGAACGAGCTCAAAATAGTTTCGTAAATAACGATAAATTTTTTTGCCACCAATCTCTGTAAAATTAATTGACGACAACTTGATTCGTTCGGTCCAATCCAATTCAATTAACATAATCAACCGATGTCGAGTCGGCTAATGACAGACCTCCCTCCACAATGTGAATATCATATAAATTAGATAACATACTGAGCTAAAAATCCTGCATTGATAGGAGGATTATTCAAGTACAAGGAGTCTATCAAGTTTGAATACATAATCTAGTAAAAAAATGGCACTATTTTCCACACATTCGACAAATAATTAAAGTGTTCAACAAGAAGATCAATTTAATTATATCACAAGAAACTACTAAATAGTAAACTAAATAAATAAATGTGCCCTGTTTCATTAGCTTTAGCTATGAGACAGTACAACCTAGCACCAAAGTAAGGAAAGGTCTTGTATTCAAGGCCGTTGTCCATTTATTGAGAGCATATCGAGCCTTCGATAAAAATTTAAATTGGCCGATTTAAACGTTTAGAAGTGATGGTTTCTTGATAATCTAAAACTTCCATTCAACTGTCTGCACAATGTAATTATATTCAACATCTCCAGGACACTTGACTACAAAATTTATTCCTCATTGTGCTCCTCAATCCCCAATATGCGGAAGTTATTCCTCAACAATTATGCATGCTAATTTTTAAAAGATACTTGACCAATAGAAGAAAAAAAGAAGAAGAAAAAAGTGGATTTAGAGATAAGTGGAAATTACAACTCACAACTGTTTAAAATAAAATATTCTCTTTATACAAGTCAATAAATTAATTTCAAAAAATACTGGAAAATAGCAGTATAATTGATTTTCTACAAATTACTGAACTCATCAATCTTTTTCTTAACAAATACTGGAAAATAGCAATATAATTGATTTTCTACAAATTACTAAACTCATCAATCTTTTTCAAATTACTCTTACATGTGAATTACATTGGGGAATCGATTCCACATTTATTTTCAAAGTAGAATCAGGGTCTTCCACTGCAGAGGTGCTGCATTTCCATCCTCTAACCAAGGAAGATTTCCATATTATAGATAGCGTAGAAAGATTTTGTTGTCCTAAAATTCTGCTACATCCCAATTGGATTAGGGTTGAGCTGTTCCGGTTGGACGAGATGGCTATTTCTTTCCAAGCATGAGCAAGCCCTTGGAAGCTGAAATTTGGACGATCAATCCAAGTGGTTCTCTTTATACACCTATAAGGATTATCAAAGCATCGGATCTGATTTTCGATGAATAGGATGGAGCGGCTGCTTATGCTAGTGCAATACAAAGGAGAGGATGAATGTTGTCTAACTGTTGGCGGACATTATCCATGTCCACTGTGCACACTCCTTTGCATTTGATTTTACACACCTCCGTCGCTTCCAGAGAGCATGAATGTTGTCTAACATGTTGTGGAGAAAAAATGTCAAGTGCATTACTGAATGTTGAAAAATATTGTCCTCGAGCTAATCAATTGTCATGAATCAACTAGGGAAAATGATTTCCTACTGCCAATAGCAGTTTTGGCTGTGTTATTAACTGACATTGACAGTATAACAAATTTGAACTCTCCAATTTAGCAGAAACCATTGATATGGTTATATTGCAAAATAAAGAACAAGAACCTACACATAATAGCTACATAATATGTGCCACTTAATCTCAGTATTAAAACAAAGCATATTGAAGTCGTTGCTTCATTTCACCACATATCCACTTCTTTAGCCTACAACTATAACATTTTGTCAGAGTACGCATAGAAAAAATAATAATAATAATAACAGAACCATGTACTTCTGTGACAAATATTCATTTCAAGCCAATTTAGATCACCCATTAGCAAATCTATATTGAAGCTCAAAGATGGGTGCATTCAAATAATAGATACAACAGTGTATTCATCATCATCTACTTATATTAAAATTGAAAGAGAAAAATAAAGAGTTTTGATTGTCAAAAAATTAAAAATTACTTTGAAACGAAGAACATTTGAAATAGTTGATCCATTACAGCCATATCCACTTCTTTAGTCAACAGCTATAAAATTTTGTAAGATATGCACAGAGAACCAATTAACAAAGAATAATGATATTTGTAGTGAAAACTATCAATAGTCGTCCTCGCATACAAGTAACAGCTTGTTATTTCATACATGACACAATAAAAAATTACCATGTTAATGCATTAAATAACAAACTATGTATGCCAGGCAAGACAGCTACTGGTAGTTTTCACATTGAAGAGCATTACTTATTAACAAAA